CAGGCAGCGCTCCGCACCCACCGCACCTGCGGGGAGCCCCGCGCGGCGCAGCCAGCAAGCCTGCTCCTTTCTGCAGAGAGGAAAAGGCTTGCTTTGCTTTACACACACCCACTGACCCCAAATCGCAGTTTTCCATGTGTAGCCTCGGATTCCCGATGTAGTCAGGAAACCTGGCTCGCGTATCTCCCAGACGTTCTTCTGGGCTTCGCTCTCAGGCATCTCTGGCCATCAGGAACTTAGTTTCGATGGCTGAGAGGCCATCGGGTGTACGGCTTTGCAATGAGCGAATCAAGGCTTAACACCGTTTCCCGTTCAGAAACGACAAAGGCTGAAGTGGGACAAAGCAGGAGCAAACTTCTGCCTCCCTCACGCCCAGGAGCATGGTGGCTTTGCGAACAGGTTCTTTTTTTCACCGCCACATTAATAGAAAAATCCGTCACTTGGTGCCTGTGAGCCCGTGTGGAACGGAGGATCAACCGGAGCTCCCACAACCTAGCTTAGCAAGGATACACCACTACGAGAAAAACTGTCCAACACTTCTCGTGGTGCTGTAGTAGTGACACAAAAGGAAGTTGAAGAACACGACTGACACATCGCCCTTAACACCTTCGTTATTGCCGGAAAGTTCCTGGCGCTGGGCGCAGCAGTTTTGCTTACGGCATCTGTGTAGCGCGGTCTCCTTGCTGCACCTTTGGTTGATTACTGTGAAAACCATTCACGCCGCGAGCTTCAAAAATAAATGCTGGAATCAGTAGAAATAACCAGATTAGAAAAACTCGGTGATATGTATGCGTCGTTGTTGACTCACTGTGACTTTCTGCAACACAATCTTTCTCGTTTACCTCGAAAATGGGATAATAAACTATCAGCCTTTCCATTACCTTGCTAAACGCCGCTTCGGCTGCGGGTAACGAAAGCGGCAGAAAACATTACTGTGAATTACTATTAGCGCCCATGAGCAATTCTGACCTGCTTGCAAAAAAATACGTGCTTGTCTGTATGACATCCAAGTTCAAAATGCCCACAGGTGCCTTTGCACGATTCAAAGCACGTCGATTTCCGTGCGGAAGAAGCCGAGGGGCAGAGCCCGCCCGGGGCAGGCACCGCGCCAAGCCCCGCTGTGCTCAGCCCACCTGCACACCGCGCTTTCTCACCTACTGTTCCGTCACCCGTTTGAAAGCCTTCAGCAAAAATAAAGAAATCAACCGAGTGAATCAAGTGACTGCTTAATTCAGAGCACAAGCCCCTCGTGTGAGGGTGGACGCTGCAGAGGAGCGGGAACAGACACCCGGCTCCCGGGGCGCCAGCTTGCTCAGAGGGCTAGGGGACAAAGCGCACGAACACTGCTTTGCTTCGTGGTCTGCAAAGCCACCTCGTGCCTGAAACGCACCCTGCGCTCCCAGCTTTTCCTCGGGACGCAGGATTTGCTTTACGCCCCGGTGCGGACGGAGCCAGCGGAACGCTGGCGTTGCCCGCCGGGCCGTGCCGAGGACG